GGAGAAGCGGCAGTGGAGCCCCCCGGCCAGGGGAGCGGGCCCCGGCAGCTGTGGAGAAGCGGGGGCCGTACATGGTGACGCGCGCGCCCTCCCTTCAGGCCAAGCTGCGTGAGTGCGGCCCGATGGGGGGAGTCTGCCTGAGCGGGCGGCGGCATCCCTGGGGTGGGCTCCGGGACCCGGCTGGGGCGACCCCAGAGAGGCGACTGCCGCTAGCCTCGGAAAATCCATTCAGAAAGCGTGGGTTCCGGGCGTTTGGGAGACGCGGCCGAGGGGGGAAGACACCACTGATCCCGGCCCTTTAACTTCCAGAGAAGCACCGGGACCTGGCCAAGGCCGTCCTGCGGAGAAAAGGCATGCTGGGGGCCTCCCCGTACCGTCCCGACTCTTCTGGGAAAAGGTCTCCGCAAGCGCCACTTCCCCTGCGCACGCAGCGTCCAGAGAAGGCTTAGTTCTTAGGCTGGGAGGCCCAACTCACGGTTAAGGCCGAGCAGGTTCACCATCTATGGAAATAGGAATTGCCCTTTCTTGTATTATAAGTGCCCCAGGCTCACCCCCTGTCTGTGTATCTCAGTTAGGGGGAAGCATAATGGGTGGACCCCTAGAGGATGGAGAGCAGTGTCTGGCCAGAGAGTTCAGGGCTGGATAGGTTCTGTTCACTGCCTCTTTTAAAGATAAGAATTGAAACAGAGGGGTGAAGTTCTTAAAGTTTTTTTTGGCTTTTGTTTAATTAGGGGGTTGTTGTTGGGGGGGTGTCCTGATTCTTGAGAGAGGAGGTGTATTTTTTCCCAAGAGCCAAATGGAAGTGCATATTCTGAGGCGCTGTGGCCAGATACAGGGCGTGACCAGATTGCAGGCAGGTTAGGCCAGTGCTTCCTTCCAGAAGGGTGGAGATTCAGGTGTTCCCTGTGAAAATGCCAGTGCCTCATCTGTGCTTGGTCTCTCCATCTCAGGTCAGTGAAGTTTAATAAGGGCTATACTGCACTTAGCCAGAGTCCAGATGAAAACCTGGTTTCCCTTGACTCTGACAGGTAAGTGCACTCCATGAACATAGCCCTTGGGAGTGACTTGCGTAAAAGTGCAGATCGCTTAGTGCCTTCGCTTGTTCCCTGTCTCTTCCGAGACCCTTCATGCATGTTCCAGGGCTGCCTTTGCAGCACTGTCCCCAGGATGGCTTGGTTAGAGGACTGACTCAGGTGATCATGCTTGGATCTCAAGCACCGTCCTTGTGGGGGGCAATCCTGCCCTGTCATGTCTGCACTGTTAGTGGCAATGGCCCTGCCCCTACTGGAGCCAATTGAAGGAGCCATTTGTACTCACAGCTTGCATTCTGTGGTTTGTGGTCTTTGCTTCACAAGTCCTCCAGACCCCCTTGCATGATTTCCATCCTGCTACGTGCAGCTGCCCTCCACAGGCACCCCCCTAAACTGACTCTTCCTCTTCTCCTAGTGATGGGGAGCTGGAATCCAGATACTCCTCCGGGTATTCCTCTGCAGAGGCAAGTCCAGAGCACCCTTCTGCCCAGGGTGGGGCTGTAGGCAGCGCGCTACTGCTGCCAGAGACTTGTCTGGTGCTTGTTATTTGGTGGCACTGTCCCAGCCTTTGGTCTCCAGGCACTGTGTCCTCTTCCCCCAGCAAAGATACAGGTGTCTGAGAAGGGCCGTTGAAAATCTAGGAGGCCATAGACTCTCTGTGCAGGGCACCACTTAGAAAAGGAGTCCTCTCATTAAGTCACAGCTAAGTGTTTACTTGTCTCTGCTTGCTGGAATGCTGCTTGTAGTGAGGAACTTACCTAGTTCCTAGCTACAGATACCTCCAAGAGGCCTCACTACCTACCACCTCCCTTGGGTGGCTCTTAAAAACTTCCTTACTGATTTGAAACGTCTTCTGGAGCCGGGACTTCATGGTCCTAGGCCTGCCTCTCACTGTCATTCCAGTCACCCACCCTTCCCTGAATACCCTCCACCAGGCTTGCTTTCTTCCAGGCCCACCAACTTGCGTACCTGCAGACATTCCATCTATGGAAGCTCAGGCTGTTAGACTCTGGGGTTAGCCTTTGCCACATGTTTCCAATGATGGTCTCATACACAAACAGGGATATAAAGTTCTGCCTGCTCATTTTGCTGCCTTTGACAGGCATGACTACACTACAGGTGTTTGCTCCTCCGTGTCAGGAAACCTTGGCCGCCCCGAGTTTCTGCCTAAGGGGAATACAGGCAGTTTACATATTGTATCCTCCTGGATATGTGAGTCCCTAAGACTTAAAATTAAGAAAAATTAGCCAAGAGCTGAAGAAAGTTCTACACTGTCTTGTCTCATTTTCCTTCTGCTCAGTGGAACTGGTGATGCCATGCTCACAGGCTTCACTTTGTAGGAAAGGTCTGCCGGCACCTGCTTTCCAGGCCCATTCCACTGTAACCCATATTCTTCAGCTTTTGTACCTCACTGTTCTAGTGTCATTTTCTGTATTCTGTAGCTTTCGTAGTGGCCAGTTGAGGTTCCCAGTGGCAACAATCAGGGCATTGACTTACAATCTGGGGCCTGATATTTACATCCGATGTCTCAGGATTCTTTGGTGAGAGCAGCTCCCCTGATACTTAGTGACAGTGCAGCCTGTCCTATACTGATAAACCCACTGCTGGGTGAGGTGGCGTAACCCAGAGATGTATGGGGTTGGCCTAAGCACGGAGCTGGACAGGAAGCTGTGGTAAGAGCAGGTCTTCCTTTCAGGCAGCAGTTCCTTGTGCTTTGTGGCCTGGCTTACCAGTTCTTTCTCTTCTGCTCTTAGCAGGTGAACCAGGATGTCAGCCGGCAGCTGCTCCAGGATGGATACCACCTGGATGAGATTCCAGATGATGAGGACTTGGACCTCATTCCCCCCAAGCCCATAAACTCAACGTGCTCCTGCTGCTGGTGCTGTCCCGGGGACTCTTCTTCCTGTACCCTCCAGTAGACATAACCCCTGAGTGGGCCCTGCTTGCTTTGCTTGCAGAGCACTGTTGGCCCAGGAGTAGCAAGTGTGTGGCGAGATCTGCTGGCAGCCCCAGAATCACTGGAGGCACTGACCTGCTGGGCAGGTCACTGACCCCAGATACCCCTTACCTGGTGCTTTTCAGACCAGAGGCCTCCCTCTGAGTCACGGGGTGACCGATGGGATGCTGCCGTTTCCTCCGCTGTTGGCAGCTAGAGAAATCACTTTAATAGGGGCACTACTGGGGCTTCAGGTTCTTATGGCGAGGGACAGAATTGGCTAAGAAATAATCTTGGCTAGTATTTGTTGTCCTGCTTTGGTGGGGAAAGGAGAGTTTCAGTGCCCAGGCTATGCTGGTATTATATATGGAGGCAGAAAATAGCACTTTATGACTTGTAGCTATAATCCTTGAAAAACAATTATTTGGGACCAGTTCAAGAAATTCTATACCCTGTCTTCCTCTTGCTTAGCTCCATAATGGATAACTTGTTTGACTTTCAAGAGGTGGTAAAGCAAGACACTTCGGTCCTCTGTAGCTGACCATGGGTAGAGCACAGCAGGTTGCTTGATGGCACTTCCAGATTGCCTGGGCCTGGGCTGGCCCAACTGCCTGGGTGGGTCTAAGGAGACTGCTTAGCCCATTCCTAGAGAACTGCTCCATTATGTACATATTTATTTATTTGTCTCTTCTTGGTCACCATTCTTCACCTGAGTCTTGGCTAGTCCCTCCAGTGTTTAAAAGCTGACTAGGTTGGGTGAAGGGACCTAAGCTCACCGAGGCCAGCAGTGTTTGTGGTGACCAGCAGAGGGAGCAGCAGGAAATAATCAGGAGACTTCCTATTTGTTTAGCTTTTTCAACTTGAGAAGTAGCAGTGCATGGATGGTACACTGATGCAGCCCTGTGACTTTCGTCATAAAGGACAGTGACAGGATGGGGAGAAGGGACCTGTGTCAGCATCTGAGGCCCCCACAGAACACAGCGGACACAGGCACCAATCCCATGACCTCAGTGGCATAGCATTCTTGCTCTGCCTACTCTCTCTCTCAAATTTAGCTTTTCATTGTTTTGTTTTGCCTCACCTAGAACCATGCTGTGGAGACCAAATGAGAATGCACAGGGCTCCTAGCCTAAGGGGCATAGCAGTCAGGATTAGGGAAAGTTTGATGTCCTGTGACTGGAGACATAAGAGGAATATGGGGACTCTTCTTGTTTTATACCATGAGGTGATTAGAGGTCAGAATTTTAGATAAAAGGCCTTGTCAGTTGGCAGGTGACATATGTCCCATCAGTACTTGATTGTCATCCATTTGGTGCTTTTTCTCAAATCGTTGAGAGGGTTCTAAGATGTCCAGGAGACAATGGCCAATCTTTATTGTACAGCTGGCAGCACCACAGGAGGTAGATGGGACGGACAGAGGCAGCTCAGCTTGGGGTCTGCAGAATGGGGATGTGGATGGTTATTCTCTGCTGGAAAGGGCTGTGGTGCTCCTCACAGGTGCAGAGCATTCCCAGCCCTTTGTGTGAGTGCCTACTGGGGGTGATAGCACCTCCTAAACCCCTCCCACCCAGAGCCTGGGGCAGGCCTTTGTTTCTGTGGAGGTGGAGAAGGACACACAAGATCAGGGTTTGGATGTATGACAGGGTGGGGACTAACTGGTGGCAGTGGAGGCCAGAAAGCTGTTGAAGCCAAGTGGGGGCCACATTTCTGTGGGGGTGTTAATTAAGACAGAGTAGCCTAAGCATTTGGCAGCTTCTGGGTATGAGGGTGACAGCAGGACCCAAAGACAGGCACCCCTGGGCAGTCGATGCTCTGAATCAGCACTGGTGTTTTTGGCTGCAGCTGTCCCTCAGGGCATGTGCCAGAGCTGGCTGGCCGCTTGGGGGAGGCCTTACCTTTGTAAAAAAACACTACAGACACCTGTAGCTAGGGACAGCATACAGTGAGGCAGGGCAGACATGGCCAGCAGTTTGGGGCCAGAGGCCAAAATGTCACCAATACAGGCACCAAGGTGCCCAGTGCCTTAATCGTAGTCCCTGGCTTCTGCAGGTGGCAGTGCCCTGGGCAGAGGATGTATCTGACTTACCTCGCAGATGGGAGTGGCACCCTAGGTATTTAGAGCACGCCATAGAACTCTTGGCTTATGCTTCTACAGCTCTGTAAGTTTATAAAAATAAATACAAATATACAAGTTGAGCTGTCTCTGTGTTACAATGGGATTTTTAAGAAAAGCCTAGATTGTAGTCACTTCCCTTCGGAATTCTGAAACGAAATGCCTGATTGCTCTTCCTCCACCTCCTCCCCTTTCTGCTGTTCTGCAGGACATCATTTTCAGGCCTGTTTCTAAGTGGCGACCATGGATAGAACAGCCCTTTTATTTAGAAGGGGTTCGCTTTTGTAGACCTTTCTTCCCAGGTGAAGAAAATGTAGAGGCCAAAAAATACAGAACACATTGGCCAGAACTTACTGGAAAGCAGTTTCCTGGGGTTCTGTGATACTGAGCCTAGAGTGGGCATGGCTCAGAAAGACACTTGTACAAGTCTAGGTCCTTACTGCACCAGAAGGCATCGGGAGCCCTGGGTCTCTGCTTAGTGTGGGGTGGCAGGACCCAAATTTCTGGTCAGAAACCTCAGAGGCAAAATGGCTGTTGAGCCTCCTGCAGAGGTGTGCCCCACTTCTACAAGACAGGCACCAGCAGGGTAGATGCCCTCCTACGCCAGTAGGAGGTAGTCTCCTGCCAGTTTAGAAAAAGCAAGAGTTTGCCTTCACTGTGCAGACCCAGCTGTCCTGCCCCTGAGCCCCTGAATCTGCAGGGGCTGTGTGTGCTCCAGAGAAGTGCTTGACCAGTTTGCTGTGTGTATAAAGGGCTCAGCCCACACTTCAGCTTTGCAGGCCATACATCCCAGCACATTCCAAGCCCGCCCTTGTAGCTTGAAGGCAATGGATAGTGTATAAATGAATGGACGTGCCCAGGTCTAGCCTGTTGACCCCTGTTCTAAGACCAGCTCAAACTGGAGGGAAGAATCTTGCACTGACAGTGCACAATTTTAGACCCACCCCCTCCGTCCCCAGGACTGGAGGGCCCATGGCCAGCCTGCTAGCTTAGCATCTGAGAGCATTCCCACACTTTGCTCTAAAAGGGCTGAGTCCTTGCCCACCCTAAGGACTTGTTTTATATAGGAATGAAGCAAAACGACATGCAGAGAGTACTCCTTTCAGGAACTGGAACACCAAAGGCTGACGTTTTTACCCCACAGCCTGAACACACCAACAGACTTGATCTTTAATTGCTTGGGCAGAGCAAAAGGGTAACGATGGGCACATTAGTCTACACACCTAGCCTCCTTCCCTTACAGCTGAGGAAACGGGCAGTCTCAGGGCCAGTACCCTGTTCCTAGAAGCTAATTACTTAGCCTTTTGATGTAATTAATGCTGAACTAATCAGATGTCACCAGCCTGCCCAGTGCTGGAGGCTGGAACAGAGCTGCTGCCTCCTGCAATGAGGGGGCTGGGGTCAGCCATGGCAAAGAGATGCTACAGCGAGAGGAGTGTTAGTTAGCCCTTCTTGCTCATGTGGGCCCTCTCCCAGAAAGATGGTTCTGCCGAGGCGAGCTCAGGAGGTGTACCGCCAAGCTCGTTCCTGTACCCCATCTCTTCTAGGACATACCCAAAGAGTCCAGAGCAGTGAAGGGGTTTGGGCTGGGCCAAGATTTCAGGCGCCTGGCAGAGGAGAGCAGGAGGCCGTGTCCTCTACAGCAGACAGCAGGCACGGAACATGAGCAGGCCCTCAGGCGCAGTGAGCTGCAGCGAGACCATCTCTTTGGCACCAATGAAGAGCACCCCGCCACGCTTTAGGGGGATTGCCGCCTGGGCTGTAGGAGTGCTGGCTGTCACTGTCCCCTGCACCAGCAAGAGGATGCTGGCAGAGTCCAGTGCCAAGACCTTGTATTCAGTGACAGAGCCAGGGACCTGGACAAGAAGGAACAGTTGGGTAGTACAGCACAGGGGGTCAAGACACCACAAAGGCTGTGAGAAGGAACATTCTGTACCCCCTCCCCACCATCTGGTCCTTGTCAACATGGTAGAAGTGGGCCACTCCCCTCCAGAGTGAGCTTCACAGAAAGGCACCCCAACCCCAGGCAGAGTCCACACTGTGACCCTTAGCAGGGTTCTCCTGCCACAACGCACCCACCATGACCCCTCACTCACCTCCATCTTCATGACAGTGAAGTCTGGCACAGGGGGGTCATAGACAGAGAGGTAGGGGTCTTCCTGACTCCGTGCTGGAGGGAAGAGCCTGTCCTTGCTGGGGCCAGGGGTATAGCTGAGCATTTCACACAGGGTTGGCACATCGATGAACTTGGGTGTGAGGCCAGCACGCACCGTGTTGTCTGAGCATGCCATGCACTCCACACAGTCTGGGGACACAGAGGTAACAAGTGAAGATGATGGAGTTGGCTGTGGAGGGCTGGGCTTCCCAATCTGAGCTCCATAAACCTCCTGCAGAGCTGGGGGAAATGAGAGCTGCATTCTGCGGGAGAGTGGGCAAAGACAGCAGATACCAAACAGTGGTACAGAGCATCTGCTGTTGTCAGGAGGAGCCGGGTTAACCCCCAGGGGAGCCCCATCTTCCCCAGACTGTTCTACCATAGAATTCTGTCCGTGAGCTGATAAATGGCCAACAGTCAAAATGTGTGTTCTGTGGTGACGTGTTTAGTGTAGGGATCTCTAGCTAGTTAGGACAGTGTCATGCAGGGGAATAGCAGCCTGATTCAGTAGAGCCTGGGTGCAAATTGTGCTCCCCACACTTACGGACAGGGCTCAGCCTCAGAGTGCCAGGACTTCCCAGGGCTGGTGTGAAGCCTCAGCGGTGTCAACCCCACGCTGCCATTCGCATCCCTGCTCTCCCCAGCAACCCTGGGAGGTCAGAGCTGAACAGTCCTCAAAGAAGGTCTCAACCACCCTCTCCCCACTTTGTCCTGTGGGCAAACAAAGCCAGAGGGGGCTGGGGGTTTGCGGCTGAAATTCGGCTCACCTCCTTTCAGGTAGGCGTGGGGCATGTTGGCCTCCAGAAACATGGCCTCCCCCGGCTTCAGGCTAAGCAGGTTCAGGAAGTAGATGGCAAAACACCCGATATCACCTGGATACTGCTGGTGCAGCTGCAGCAAGAGCTCCCCACAGACCTCTTCCATGTTGTGTCCAGCAGCCACTGAGGATCGCAGAGCACCCAAGGCACTTAGGAACGCTCAGTGGTGTTCACAGCCTCATCCTGGTCAGGGAGGCATCCAGAAGGTGCCCGGAAGTGTTAGGAGTGTCCTAGCCACATCCCTAGCCCAGTGGTAGCCAGCCTTCCTGGCAACACAGATGCCATCTCCCTATTCTGGTCTCCTTGGTGCCCAACACTGCACCAGGCACATGAGTGGGCTTCTGCAGTGGTTCTCAACCTCCACTCCTGAACACTCCCCATTAGACCTCTCTAACACCCCCAATCCAGGTTTGACAACCAAAAATGTCTCCAAACAATTGCCAGTTTCCCTGGCTAAGAACCAGTGACCTGGCAGTTCAATTAGGGAGCTAGTCCAGGGTTCCACATAGGTGTCTGTCTGTCCTAGTTAATCCAGCCTTTCCCTATATTAGCTCTGAAAGTACTGCATCCCACATCTCCCAGCCCCAGGTTGACAGGATGGCTGGTCACCCCAGACAGTATGAGGCATAATGCACCAAAATGTGTCCTGGAGAATGCCCAGGAGTGGGTGAGCTCAGCAAGGCCAGACTGGGGAGGGAGGCTTCTTGGAATTGGGGGACAGGGTGTGAGTGGAGTCGTCTTGAGTATGCAGAGGAAGAGAAGCATGGCTGCCTGTGCTCCCCACTCTGTCTCTGGTGAATCCCCTCACCGCCCCTGCACCTCTGGCTTGTACCCCAGTTCTGTATGCATAAATAATTTTTTTTTTTTTTAAAAAGGCACTACACCTGACATACAACCAGGGTGTGACAGGACCCCCGAGCAGAGTAATCAGTTCTGTGGTGAATAGGGAACCCTACAAGGTGAGGCATGCAAGCAGAGAAAACACCAAAACAATGGTACCCTTGAGTAAAGTAGTCCCTGTGGCTCAAAGATTTGTACAGAGACAGAGGCAGGACAACAGGGCAGTCACTGTAGAAGGGGCTGGGCCTGATGATAGGTGCCACATCAGCTCATGGCTGAGAGTCCCTGCTTGGATTGACTCCCCAGCCCAAAGGTAACATGACCACACCCATCACAGTCATTTCCAGAGGTCTTAGTTCGCACAGGGTTGGGCACATAGCAGGTATTGAATGAAGGGTCAAATGACTAAGCTCTGGGTGTTAGGCCTTTGGAGAAGAGGATCTCCTTTTTTCCCCCTCCCTTGTTCTTTCCTGCTCTCTAGCCCCCAAGTACAAATCCATCGGAGGGCTGAGGAAGTCTCAGAACACTTGGGTGAAAGTCATCCTGAAGCTTCTAAGTCCATCTGCTTCCCGCCAAGTAGAGAAGACAGCTGGTTAGGAAGTAGCCATGAACCTAGAGCCCTGCTCCACATACTGGGAAAGAAACGTGAAGTCGCCAACAGGCCACCTAAATTGGGCTCAAGGGAACTTGAGCAAAGGGGTGGAGAACCTGTTCCCCACAGCCTAGTGTCTGATCTGGTGGGGGCCATGACACAGCCCTGCACCTGGCCTACATCACCACCCACCTTCCTGGGAGATCCGCTTCACCAGCACATTGAGCTGCTCTACCACCACCTTCTTCTCACTCTTCATTAGGTGGGAGAAACAGTTCTGCAGAGCAGAGGACACGGCCTGTGCGTCACGGCTCATGCTTTGCTTCAGCTGTGTTGCCGCACTTTCTCCAATCAGAAACCGGAATTCAGGTACCTCTGCAGGAAGCCAGGCCAGGCCCATATCAGGAATGGCAAGGTGGCATCCCCCAAGGTGAGGAGTTGGAGGAAGCCTCCCATCTTATCTCTAACCAAGGTGCCAGGCAATACTGTGCAAGCTTTGCAGTGAAAACTGACCACTCACCACCAGCCCTTGGCAATCACACCTGAGCCTGGCCTCACAGTCCTGCCCAATGGCTCCAAGAATTGATGAGGTCCACCAGCCCCTCAGTTCCTGGGATATTCAGCCTTGGTTCTCTGCTCCTGTTCAGCTCTACCAGGGGTCCCTCTTATAGCCCAGACCCAATCTGCATGCTCTCAGCTTTTTGTCCAATCTTACTTGTCAGAAAGTTTACAATCTCCTCAACTGGCCGGAAGCCACATAAGCCCTGGAAGGAGGTGAGGGCAATGGCCATCTCTGGTTTATGGTTGGCATCAGGGTAGTGCTGTGGAGCTTGGAGGTGCAACTTCTCTGCCAGCTCCTATAGGGGAAGAGGAAGAATAAGAGGAAGAGGGTCACGGTAAAGCCATCGCCGAGGAGGACACCAGCCCCACCCTGCCCTCGCTCTCTTCCCTGCCCAGTTGCCAAACAGCCCAACAGTAGGTTTCTGCATCTGGCAACAAGCCCAGTCAAAACAATATTGTGGAAAGTCAGGGTTCAGTTGACCCAGGGAAGGAGGAACAGGGGCCAAATATGGGAGTTAGCTGGGTAGACTTTAGGAGGTCTGAACTGTGTGTGAATCAGGGAACCTAAATACCAAGCCAGTCTCTGACACTAAGCTGTTTGACTGTGGGCAAATCCCTCTCTTCTCTGGGTCTTAGCTACTCACCTAGAAAAGAGTCTGAACAGGCCAGTGCATGGCTGTGACTCAGTGCCTTGTGCACAGACTCTTGGGATAGAGCCAGGTACCTGCTCCGCCCTGGAAGTAAACTCTCCCAGAGAGACAGGTGGGTAAATGGCAGATATGAATAGTCCTGGACTGGATGCGGACAACCTAAGATCAAGCTCCCAGGAACCAGCTTGGGAAAGCTCCCCTAGCACAAGCTGGTCAGCTGTCTACTCAGACATCTGCCAGCATGTGTCACTGGCATTTGGCCTCGTGGAGCTAAATTGGGAGTTGTCAGGCCTGAATTTAGATTTGGGCTGGTACCTGACATGGATTGGGATAAAAGCAGCAGTAAAAATTATGGGAGGGCCTTGACATGGCAGGGCCTTCTCTACCCTGGTCTCTGGGCCCCCGCTCTGATCCTGTACCTTATTAGGGTGTGCCTGGATGGACAGGGCCGTTTCAACAGAGAGCACTTTGAAGAGGAAGGGCAGCTTGCCATTAAAGGTGTCCTTGACCTTTGTGCCTAAGCAGTCCTGGTTCTCAGCAATCCACTGGCCTAGGGTCTTCTGGGAGATGCGGTTGTCAAGGATCTTGGCATCTCCCCGGGGATGGGTTCCCATCCACAGCTGAAAAAAACAGAAAACCTGAGAGAGAAGAATCTGCACAAGCAGTTGGCCTGCCCCAGTCCCAGTTATCCTGTGCTCCAGAGTCCTGAAGTGGGCCTCCCAAGAAAGGGTATGTAAGTGCTCATACCATTGAGACAGAGAAGGAGGTAGTGGCCCCAGGCAGTCTGGAGTCAGAAGACTTAGCCTCATGTCCAGGTCTGCCTCTAACTAGTTGTGGAATCTTGGGCCAGTTATTTTCTGTCTTGAGGACTTGATTTCCTCATCTGTCCAATGAGAATCCAACTTGTGCTGTGATTTGAGAGCTGTGACTTTCAAATGGTCTGGGAGAGATTAACATCCACCTAATAGCTTCAGAAATAGAGGTTAAAGTCTTGCTCAGCTTTTTTTTTTTTTTTTCCTCTACTAGATGGGCAAAAGGAACAAATGGCATGGTTATTTAAAATGTGGAAAGTAAACTTTTTTTTTAATTATCAAAGAAGGCTAAATTAGAATTCAGTAAGTGCTGAAAGTTCTGGGAGAAGGAAAGTAGGAGAAATCCCAAGCTACAATGACAAAGCCCCTCTCCTTGGAGGACCACTATCTGGGGCCATCATCTTGCAGAGATCTAGAAGCTCAGAGGGCTGCCTTCCTATTCCAGCTGACCATATAGCTTGCTCCTCTAAGCGGCGGAGTCCTTAGGTCTCACCTGCTGGTGAAAACAGTCCAGGTCTCACCTCTGCATAGGGTTTGTCCTCTGAGATCTGGACCAGTGGGTCACTGCTGGCCAGCAGACGTGCCACTTCGCTGTTGGAACCCATCTTCCCCCAGCTATAATGCTGCACCACACAGGCAAGTGGGAACACTGCGGGCACAGACAGAGCATCAGTTTTCACACACTCCTCAGGCCTGACACTACTGGCCCGTGGACACCGGACATGAGTTGAGCAGTGACAGAATCATGGGAGTTTGTAGTTTGTTCGTTGAGACCCTTCTCTGCTGGCCTCGATGTGGCCAACTGTAGCACCGGCAGTAAAGATCTTTGCTGACTTGTAGCAGACAGCTGCGTGGACTGCCGGGGGCGTTCCCTCTTCCTCCACATCTTTGCTCGACGCGACCAACGCGCGCCCCCTTCCCTGCAGACCCTCCTTCGAGCGCGGCCACAACCGTTCAAACCCCATCGGAGGTGCCTCCTCCTCGCCCCGGCGCCCATGCATCTTTCCGCTGAGCCTTAGGTGTGGGCTTAGTGGCACAGCAGGTCCGGCAGTCTCCGTCCCCGGACACCCTGGCCCCCACCTCCTCCCACACGCCGCACACCACTCCCCTGGCTCGCCCGCAACCGGAGCCAATAGCCCACCTCGCGGAGCTGCCATCCTCCCGGCTCCAGCCGTGGCTTCCAACACGTAAGCCCTTCCCGGCAGCACCCGCAGCCCCTCTGCGCCCAGAGATTCACGGGAAATGTAGTTCCTCCGGCGCTTCATCCGAGGCTGGGACCGCTCCCTCCCAGTAAATATTTTAATCCTTCTGCCATCCTCCACTTAGCCACAGGAACCCGCGCCAGCCAGCCCAGAGACTGCAACCTGCGATCTTGGTTCTCAGTATTTATTCATTCATCCCTTCCTTCACCGGACATATTTTTATTGAGAACTGCGAAATGCTTTAGGCTGTTCTAAGGATTGGGTGCATCAGCAATCAAGATAACATCTCTGCCTTTGGAGAGCTTACATTCCAGTGAAAGAAAGGCAAGCAAGTATAGTAAAGAAGTAAACCAGAGAGAGTGTTGAAAGATAAGTGCTATAAATAGTAAGGAGAAAGGAGGCACTTTGCAGAATTTCTAGGTGTAAGTCTCTCGAGAGGGTGAGATTTGAGCGTAGGCTTGGAGTTGAGGATGAGAGAATGTTCTGGGCAGAAGAAACAGCTAGAGCAACGGTCCTCAATGGGGGAACGTGCCTGTCACATTCGGTGGTAAATAGCAAAAAGTGCAGTGTGGCTGGAGCAGAGCAGGGCAGTGAGGTGGTCAGAAAGAGAAGGCCATAGGCAACGCTATGCAGACTATGTGAGGACGTCAGATTTTTTTTTAAAGATTTCTTTATTGGCCAGTCCTAGTGGTGTAAGGGGTTAAGTCTCAGCACTATGAAGCTATCCACAGTCATGATAGCATGAGTTGAATCTCCTGCCAGGGAGGTGACCCACATGGCATGGCAGACCTCTCTGACTCACCCGTGCTCCCCTTAACAATGTGCTCCGTTGATCTGCCTGTTCTGCTTCCCACTCTGTCTCTGGTGAATGCTCTCAAACCCGCCCCCCATGCCTCTGACCTGTACCCCAGTTGTTGCCCAGTTCAGTTTTTGTATGCATAAGTAAATACAGAGGGGGTCTGTTAGGAAAGTTCTGCCATGCTATGTGGGTTAGCTCCCTGGCGGGGGATTGAACTTATGCTACAGTGGTTGCAGATAGCTTCATAGTGCTGAGACTTAACCCCATGCACCACCATGGAGGCCTGAGGACCTTAAATTTTACTGAGAATCTCAGTCATCAGCCATTCCAGCAAAGAATTACTGTGATACTCAGGGATACTCAATAATGATAACAGATGCAAGGCCCTAACCTGTCTGAGCTTCAGATTTTTTCATTGTAAATGGTATAATCATGCTGGCTCACACCTTGTGGGAGGGTCAGATGGGGTGATAGGGGATGCTAAGGTCGTCAGTACTCATGCTTCTGTGATCCTTCCTGCCTTAAGTACCACCCAACTCAGAATTCCAACCTCTTCTCGAAACTCAGCTGCTCACAGTTACAGACAGAAGTGTTGGAGAGGCCCCAGGAACCCTGTATGGCCAAGGCTGGGCTAGGCTATGGCTGTGGCTGTGGAGTGATTTTGCTATAGCCTGTGGAGAAAGGTTCAGACATCTAGACATCTTCAGTCAAAAGCCTAAGAGGAGGGCAGCCGATGGGAGGGCCCAGGAGCACAGCAGCTAAAAACTCTGGGGAGCCTTGAGTGAGGGCCTCAGTCCTGACTCTATGTCCCCTTTCCCCCTCCCTCAACTCACCCCACACACATCAACACTGAGCCTCCACAGCCTCCATGACACATGACCAGGTGGGGGGAAGGGGCACTGTTTTCTCTGTAGTGTTCTGCCAATGTCGACATCATCTTCCCCTGGGATTCTCTGAATCAGATAAATCAGCCCGTGTTTCAACAGAAGTTTCCTTTTGTATTTTTGTAGGATTTATTTATTTATGCATAGAAGAACTGGGAACAATAAGTGGAAAACACAGAAATCATACAAACCACACCCCAATACCTCCTTGCCTGTGAATGCCTCTTCTTCCCCACACCTCCACTCCCATGGCCATATGAATATTCTGGGAGAAGACTCTGTTCAAGCACAGGGGCTTCTAGAGCACCTCCTACTGTGTGTTCAGTCAGCCTAGCCCTAAGGTATTCCAGTTACTTTGTATCCCGCTCTCTTTCCCTGGGTTGTTTCCTATTCCTTTCCCCTTTTGTAAATAAACCCATTATTGACCCTTTTGTGTGTATCTGCAGTATAACCGAATTGTGAGCACGCAGGTAAGGCCCCAAAGACAGGCGGCCCAGTCCACTCTGGGCTACCCTGTAACACTACTACTATCACCCAGAGCCTGACACAAAGCAGACACCCCAGGAGATGAATAACCCAGCCATTGGGAATAAGGGAGCAAAGCTACGGAGCCCAGCTCTGTTGAACGTCAGATTCTGCTGCAAACCTGCTCAGCCTCCACACTCACGTCCTGCCACTGGGCGAGCTGAACGAGGTAAATGCCAGGCCCAAAGGCAGTGCAGAGAAGATGCCCAGTGCGTGGTCACATCGTCGTGTGGGCCATTTTTTTCTTTCACATTCTAGAACCCCAAGACGTGCAGAAGACCGGCCACTGAAGCCACACTCCTCCTAGGATCTGTGCTCAGGGGAGAAAGAACTTAGATTATTGGGACAAAGTCCCCACTCCACACCACCCACCCTACACACAGAAAATTATCTATCTGTATGGAAAAGTAGGGTGTTTGGAGGATCTTGAATCTCTAACCTTTATCTCTTGCTTATCTATTTCTACTTACACTGATCTTGTTTTATTACCTAGCATTCACTGTCTTTCCTTCTAGACCATGTGTCTAATTCAGCTTCCCATTTCTGTCAGAGCCTAGGTGTGAGGTCCAGCTATAATATTAGCCTGTTAGTCACTGAATACTGTGCCAACTTCTTTTCAGGAGTTCTCTCACTTCATTCTCAAGATAACCCTAATGGGTCTTGTTTTTTTTTTAAAAAAAAGATTTATTTATTTGTGCGTACAGAACCAGGGTACAAGCCAGAGGTGCAGTAGTGGCGAGAGGATTCACCAGAGACAGAGTGGGGAGCAGAACAGGCAGATTGATGAAGTACACTGCTGAGGGGAGAAGCAGGCGGGTCAGGAGAGGTCTGCCGCGCCATGTGGGTCACCTCCAGGGTGGGGATAGAACTTATGCTGAAGTGGCTTTAACTTCTTAGTGCTATGCTTTAACCCGCTGCACCACCAGGGAGGGCCCGGTCT